AGATTGTTTCTTTTTTTCTTCGTTGACAAATGGGAGACAGAGTGAAAGCGTTAAGAAGAGAAAACAATGATTTAAACAGACAACTGAATGATCTGATGAAGGAATTTCAGTCTATCAAGTCCAAGATGGCGGAACAGAAGGATTTCCACGAAGCAGCAGCTGCCGCTTTACTGAACACACAGGATGTTCAATTCCTCAGCGACAGCTACGATGCCCTTGTTAAGTCAGAATCGAGCTTGTCAAAAGCTCTGGAAAGTTTTTCTCGTACGTTGGATTTATTGACAGTTAACGTTGACAGAATTGACATAGCTATCAATGAGATGCTCTACTACAGTTACCAATTCACTAGAAGTATGACACGAGACACTGACGTCGAGAGGTAACGCCAGTCGACTAACTACCAAGGACCTGGATCTCCCGTCCACTGCTGAAATTAATCAGATTGCAATTTACAGCCACCTCATGCTGAGACTACAAGAGCTGTTACATTCAGCAAAGGCAAACCAAAACACATACAACTACAAGTGGTGCTGGGCAAAAGGCACAGCAATCTTCCTATGCAAAACGGATTCTTCCATGACGATTCGTCTGCGGTCAATTGACGACTTAACTAAGTTAAGACTTTGTGAACACCCTAAAGCTGGACCGGAGGATCCTTGCAGCTAAGTTAAAACTACTATTATGTTTTATCACTGATATTACTATGAAAGGCAGGAACAAAACTACGCTGAAATCTATTAGATCTACATTGAAGGTTTTACCATATTATAGTTGTTCTGGAAATTTGGCAAAAATTCATGGCCAGTTTAATAATTCAGTGTCAATCACATGTAAAACTAAAACGGAATAAGACAAGCTTACTAGCTTATATGACTTAGATTTGCTTTCCTTAAATACAGCCTTAGATCATAATTTGAACCCCGCTGATTACTGCTCTAACAGAATAACTAGTCGATATTTCTCCCCCCATAGTTTTAAGGAGATGAAAACGAAGTTGTCAAAAGATGAGACTATCTCTGGCTTTTCTGTTTTTCATAACAACGCAGTCACCCTTAATCGTAACCTGGAAAATCTTCAAAATCAACTATTGCATGAAGTAGATTTTCATTTTAATGTCATTGGAGTTACTGAAACAAAAATCACCAATGCTAATTCACAAATGTGCACAGCACATATACCTGGCTACGTATTTGAATATGTTCCAACGCCTCTGGCGTCTGGGTGTGTAGGAATGTTTATTGATGAATCGCTTGATTATCGTATTTTAGAGAAGACCTCTAATGAAGTTTTTCAGGTATTCTGGGCTGAGTTCTCCTTTGTGAATAACAAAATGTTATTTGTGGAATCTTTTGTAGACAGCATAACTCACTGAGCTGAAATCTTTCAATCATTTTTTGATGAGACTATTGAAAAACTTGCGTCCTCTGGGAAACACATTGTAATCATGGGTGATTTCAACATTGACCTTCTAAAATGCGCATCATCTTCGTATAGTCACGACTTCTTGTCTTCCCTTCAAAGTTGTTTTCTCTTTCTCTCAATCGACAAACCAACACGTGTTCGCTCTACCTTCGCCACCCTAATTGACAACATCTTTATTAACAATCCTGATCACGTTGCAGCTTGTGGAAATATAATCTGTGATATAAGTGATCATTTTTCCCAATTCTGGGTTCTGAAATCTATAAGGGATAAAATTAAGATTAAAAAGTCGAAAGTGTAGGACTTTTCTAGATTGTCAAGGGACAGTTTTAACGTTGATCTCCCTAATGAGGACTGGAATGCACCTATGAAAACAATTTCAAACCGCAAAGCAAAACAACTCTCTAAACCATGGATTACCGAAGGTATAAGAATCTCCATTAAAGTTAAAAATAAGTTATATGAGTCTGGACGGCATTACGGCCGGTCGATTCAGACGTTACTGACGGAGTAATAACGACTTGAAGTAATCGGATGAAATTCAGGCTGGGTTTTTCCCATCATGATTCTTTTTAGGTTAGGTCTAGCTTTTTCGTAAGGTTTTAGTAGCATCTAGTTGTAGGGACGGGATTTCTTATAGATTTTTCTGGTCAGAGTTTGCCAGTTTTTGCCGAGCAGAGCTAGAGTTCAGTTTTTTCTTTTCTTATCGAAAACACCTTGATGATGGAAGGTTAAATCGCATAAATTTCAACTCGTACCCTTGATGATTGGGGGTGAAATTGTGAAAATATTGTCCTCGCGGTGGGGCTAAAGTGCAGGTCACAGGTCACAGGTCAGGTTACAGGTCACAGGTCACAGGTCAGGTCACAGATCAGGTTACAGGTCACAGGCTACAGGTCAGGTCACAGGTCAGATCACAGGTCACACACAAAAACAATAGGACACAGGACAAAACTGTTCTTGATTGACATTTTATTATACAAAAATAAAACAAGCCAAGGAACCTCAATTATATTTTTTCTGTTCTGAACTTTACCAAATCCCACACATAAGAAAATATATTTATGTTTATCACGCAAGGAGGACTTGCGTTACAGCGTAACCAAAGTTGGTAACGAAATCACAAAGGTACGCAAAATCACGTGATTTGTTAGAAAAAACGAATCTCAAAACGAAGGGATGTTGCGTTAAGAATATCATGACGTGTTTGTGGATGTTTTGGAAAAGCATTTGACGGGAAAACGGAAGAAAAGCTTAAGGACAATCTAAAACGTGTTTGACCACTGAAATACGGCAACTTATTTCAGACTTTCCTCGTCCTAAACTCCTCTTGCCACTAGATCGGTCTTCCATCTCTTTTGAAGTTGGTGGCCTGCTGCTCTGCCTTTGTACCAGTCACAAAATACTGCTGTGTTAAAGTGTAGTCGGCTAAGAACTTCAGACACTGCTATTTGGGCCTCTCAAATAGTTGCTGGACCATATTTCTCGGCTCTCCTCCCAAGAGCTTGCCATTTTCTCACGTTCTATTGCACAACAGCTTGAAAAACTCTGTTGGATTTGCCTCGTGGCGCTTAGGTGGGAGCATTCCGCCATTACAACTTGAATCTTTGACTCTGTAAACTGCTGATGTATCAAAGGAATACAGCGCTGCATCTCAATGACTCGCTCCAAGTTATCTTGGCTGCACGGTTTATTTGGAGATGACATTCTAATAACACGACAACCCTTCGTTTTCAGAGAAAAACATGTGATTTGTTTTTCGTACAAATCACATGATTTTGCACACCTTTGTGATTTCGTTACGAAGTTCGGATATGCCGTATGATCAGCATGAAAATATTATTCCATGTGAGGAATTTAATATTGTTTAAAGGACAAACATATCATCAAGGTTCCTTGGCTTATTTTATTCTTGTATAGTAAAACGTCAGTCCAGAACAGTTTTGTCCAGTGTCCCATTGTTTTTTTTGTGTGACCTGTGGCCTGTGACCTGTGACCTGTGGCCTGTAACCTGACCTGTGACCTGTGGCCTGTAACCTGACCTGTGGCCTGTGGCCTGTAACCTGTGACCTAACCTCTGACCTGTTACCTGCACTTTAGCCCCGCCGCTCATTATACCTCGGAATCGTGGATAACCGTTGGAACTTTTTTAAGTTTGAGACCTTGGAAACACATTGCAATTTATGTTTTAACCGGATCAAGAGCTTACTTGGAATATTAACTTTCATCTCGGATTAAAACTTTGGAACTTTATTAACTATATCTTTGCGATTTCCTTTATTTTGCCAAATTCAGATAGAACTCAATGATGCTTCCATAGACCAATGCATCCCACGGGAACGACTTTAGGCGTCTTGTTATCTGTACAATCCAAAATACATGTAAAAGGAATCTTGTGCAAATAAATGTTTTAAATACGCGACAGTGTGTAAACAAAGTCTCATGGCGCTTCTCGTTGCTTTCGAATTTTACTCGCCGATGTTTTTTCGATTGCCTGTTTGTCCTGGAGTAGTCAATCGATAAAAATCGTTGTCCATAAAAATCGATAGCAATCAAGGGATTTTTATCGATTGATAACGGAAATCGGTGAAAATAGATAAACTAAATTGCTGTGTCAAATCAATATTATGGATTTTTCATGATTTTAACCATTTATAACGGAAGTCTGACATTATTGTTTTTTTGGCATAAGTTAAATAGTACAGCTGTGAAAACACATCCACGAGTAACAACTGATCAACAAACATAAAAATAAATGTGGAAACTATTATTTACAGACACAAGATTCTCTCTAAAGCCGTGAAACTTTTGTACATAATAACAGAAACGGTTAGGTTTATTTACATTCACAGTTGTCGTAAGCAAGTACCACGAGAAATACAACCTGACCTTAGGTAAAACATCCTCTAGAGGCAAAGGGATACCCGAAATTCAGGATAAAAGATTTCTCTGGATACCTTTTCACCGTTTTCCGGCGTTATCAATCGATAAAATGACTTGATCGCTAACGATTTTTTTTATCGATTTCGATTTTTACCTATTGGCGCTACTCCGGGAGGTAACTACACGCGGAACTGAGGTTATTTTGAAAGGGCGGCAGATCTAAATCGTGAAAACTGGGAAAAATAAAAAACCTGGCCAATATCGGCCATCCGAGGAAGAAAAAGAAAAAAGAGAAAAGAAAAGATAAGTTTTTTTAAACTTTTTTTCAAAAGTGATAATAAATTGTTGATCCTTAGACTCTCAATTGCAACTCAATTGTCAACAAATTCATTGTTTGCATGAAATCAGTTTTCATTTTCGGATGTACAGAAGAACAGATGCATCTTCCGATACAAATCGATGGAATCGGTAAAATCTAGATAAATCAATGAACGAAACTAGTGTGTCATCGATTTCTACCGATTGATAGATACAATCGATATCAATCAAATCAGATTTACCACTTTTTATCGATCTATCGATTGATAAATCGATACCGATTTTGATTGATTGACTACTCCGGGTGTTTGTGAATGTCCATCGGCATTATCGCAGTTGATTATCGGTGTCAACAGTCTGAGGATTTTTTTTTTCGCTGGCAACTTTACTTTGTAATTTGACCTCTTGAATAGAATTGCTGTTTTCGCGATATGCAATAGAATCTCCCTTTGATATTTCGCCCTTTGTTTTTTAAAAGACGTGATTGCGTACGTAAAGTTTCGAAAACTTCAGAAACGTCCAGGAGCTTTGAAAACAATATTTTATCTCGTGCAATACAATCCGCTTTTGAAATTAACATCGCGCAAGTTTTCATCACAGCAGTTGCACTCACGTGCTAGGCAACAGAAAAAGTTCACGCGTATCATGTTCCATCGCGGAAGAAACAAGAGAGACTCTCAAAGGCCTCTAACTTTAAAGAACGCGCTAAATTTCCTAGTAGCATTTAAACCATTGTTTCACGGTAGGTTTAAAGGATTACGAAAGCAATTTCAGAGCAAAAGATTAGTCATGTTACGGACAGACGTGTATGTTACAACTGATCTTTATCAAGCCAAGCAACAGGATAAGCCCAGAATCGTTCGACGTTACAAAATGCACATGCTGTTGCTTGTAAACGCGGATGGGTGTGGGGGAGAACTCCTATATGAAAGGGGCGGGGATGCTCGTCGTCTCGCTTAGGGGTGCACATTTCGGATTTTAGTGACACTTAGGGTGTTCTGAGCAAAACGTCATTATATTAAGCCGTAAAGGTCTCTTTTAGGGTTGCACGCCAAGATATATATTTAATAGTCAGTTCGTGTTATTTACTCAATTCATGTAATCAAAGTTTTTTATAACATCAATAACTAAACAACATTGTAGCAAAATGGTCTCTTTCAGGGGTCGAAAAAAGGTTGGCCAACGCCCAGATTTTTTTAGGGGTTTTTCAAAATTTCCGACGAGCATCCCCGCCCCTTTCATATGTGAGTCCCCCGGGTAAAAAAAATACATATTGCATGACATTGCGTTACATCTCTTGCAGCGTGACACGTCACAAAAAATAGCAAAAACCCTGTCAGGGAGGCAGCTCTGGTGGCCATTTTTTCCCATTTAACCTCTGGGACGGAGGTAACCGTTTAACCTCTGGTGCCGAGGTTCCCATTTAACCTCTGGGACCGAGTTAATAGTTCGAGCACCTCCCTGCACTTGCTGGGCCGGAGTTTGGTGACCGTCAGCAAGCTCGACAGTCCCCCCCGGTAAGTCGTTTTCCGCACGGATTAGTCAAGCAGGCTTCAGAGAGTTGGCCATCTCTCACCGCCCTATAACCCCACCGGAAATAATCAACCTAACTTTGCCTTAGAAAACCGACCTTTATATTTAGATCGAAAACTCATTTCGCTCACTTATGGTACACTTCTTCACAGACGCATGCGTTTTTGGCCCCCCAAAAGTTGTTTGGACTTTTCGTTGATTCATACACAACATCCCCATTCACACAGACTATCATTGCCAAGGCAGCAGAATAGAGCTGCGCACGACTGGGTTGATAGGCAGAAAAATTCTCGATCGAGTTGAAAAAAGTGTAACCCGTCTCATGTAATGTAGATTCCCCTGAGACCAAGTGGTCAGTTGTCAACCAATCAAAGGGCAGTACCTGGCGCACGGGCTCAAGTTGAATGTGGTAGGCTTTTTAAAATACAAAATTTCACACAATTCCCGCCGTCGCGACTTCCTGTGTTTATTTACTTAAATTTATTCGTCAAACCTGGCCACTGCAGTCAAGAAACATGGGCACTTGATATATTGTATTAATTTTAGGGGCCATAATGCTAAGATTTGAAGAGAAGTTTGTAAAACAGCGAAAGAGTTCTATGTGAAACAAGCAATATTTACAATATTCTCACCACTAAAAAGGATCATATTACACTGGGAGATAAGGAAAGCTTGACACGAAGAATACAG